GGGACGTTAAGGCAGGAGGATTGCTTGAGCCTGGGAAGTCAAGGCTGCAGAGTCATGATTGCACCACTGTTCTCTAGACTGGCAACCTGGGCAACAAGAAGAGGGACCCTATCTAAAAAATAAATAAATAAAAAATAAAAATAAAAAATCCTTGAGGATTGGTTATGAGCCAACAAAATGGGAGCATATGGTAGAGTCTCAACACTCTGACCCTAGTCCGTCGCATAGGCAGTCAGAAAATGAGATCATGACGTCTCTAAGAGCAGCTGATGAAAAAGGAAATGGGAATGTAGATTTCCATCAGCAGCCCTCCAGACCCAGAGTTTGTTCCTCTGTAGTGTCTTTAGGTGGAGAATAAGGACATGCTTTGCCATTCTGGAGTGCAAATATCTGGCTGTTTGCAGCTTCACAGTAAGACTTCTTGAAATGTACTTCGTAATACCTGTGTGTCACTTTGCCAGGTGATGGCTGGAGAGGATTTTAGCAGGTTTTAGTCTCATTTAAGCTAATCTAACACTGCTGAGAAAGGAAGAGATGTGTTTGGTTTTACTTTCAGATATATACCTCTTAGCTGGGTGCAGTGGCTCATGCCTGTAATCCCAGCAATTTGGGACGCCGAGACAGGCGGATCACTTGAGGCCAGGAGTTTGAGACAAGCCTGGCCAACATGGCGAAACCCCATCTCTACTAAAAATATAAAAATTAGCCAGCGTCGTGGAGCACACCTGTAATCCCAGGTACTTGGGAGGCAGAGACAGAATCACTTGAACTGAGGAGGCGGAGGTTGCAGTGAGCCAAGATCATGCCACTGCACTATGCACTATAGCCTGGGTGCAGAGTAAGACCCTGTCTCAAAAAAGAGAGATATATAGATCTCTCTCTCTCTCTCCCTCTCTCTCTCTCTCTATATATATATACACACACACCTCTTTTTTTTTTTTTTACTTTTTTTATTTAAGCGACAGAGTCTCCTTCTGTTGCCCAGGCTGAAGTGCAATGGCACAATCTTGGCCCACTGCAATCTCCGCCTCCTGGGTTCTAGCAATTCTCCTGCCTCAGCCTCCCGAGTAACTGGGACTACAGTTGCATGCTGCTATGCCCGGATGATTTTTTGTATTTTAGATGAGACGGGTTTTACTGTGTTGCCCAAGCTGGTATCGAACTCCTGAGCTCAGGCAGTCCACCCACCTCAGCCTCCCAAAGTGCTAGGAATATAGGCATGAGCCACTGTGCCTGGCCTATGTGGTACCTCTTCAGCAGCCAGACCTAGTTCATCAGACACAAGGCCTTCATGATACCTTTGCTTGAGAAGCTTAACAACTCAATAAATCAAATGATGAATAAAAATTCTAATGTATGAAAATACTCTAATAGATAATAGATTAAGAATGGACATCCGCTGAAGGTGATTGCATCATCCTACCCATTCATTAATCTAACTCCCTACAGGTTACTTCCCTAGGAGATACTGACAAGTCTCTGTTTTGTCAAATACAGAGAAAGGCAGCAATGGGGAGGGGTGCAGTGTATGTATGTATGTCATACCTATGCTTGGTATATATGAGTTGCCTGCATATGATAGCAGCTGGGGAATCAAATCATAAATTGTTCTCAGACAGGTTTGTCCTGTGACTACCTATTCTTATTAAATAATCAGCTATATTGACCATTTTTGGTTTTGAAAAAATAGTAATTTTTTTAAGAGAGAAAAAAATTGGCTACCCATCAACAGTGATGTTAGAACCATTTCACATTCTTTAGCTTATGTCTAACCATGTGCAGGTTTAGAAAAGGGTTTGCCTGAGTCTGTGAGAATAAGAAATCATTGCCTTTGTAACACATGATGTAAAAGTAATCTCCAAGTTGACATGCTGATAGGGACTCCTGGCAAGGGGAATTACCTACCCTCAACAAAAGGTCATTCACAGCTACTGGAACATTTTTGTTGTCTGTGGCGTATAAGGTGCCTTAGAAATACCTGAATCCATTAATGCCTCCAAGTGATTAAATCAGAATTTGCAGGTGACTGAGATTGACAGTAGTGCCTTATTCTGGTGGCTGCTGTTCACTGTTCAAATGACAACCCACATGTTTTATGGATGAGGTATATAAATGTATGCTGTAACAGCAGTATCTCCCTCCAGAGCCACTGTGTACCAAGCACCAGGTCCCCCAGGGATAGTTGGCTCTATTCAGTATTTCATTCATTCAACAAGAGCTTACTAAGCTCCTTTTTGGTACCAGATACTCTTTGGTGCTGATAGTAAATAAAAGGCCAGCAAGATTAAGCAAACTCGAAGGCCTGGACCAGGAATTTGATAACAGAAAGTACTGTCGTATATAGTTTCTGGTGTGTAGTGACGATTCTCTATGAAAGCTTAGTCTTTCAGGAGATTAAAATAGATGATGAACTACTTCTACCTAGCAAGCAAGCAGGGTGAAATGAGTGACTATTTGACTGCCACCTGCTGATGCTGGTCTTTTTTGGTGCCTAGGGCTTATAATGATCAACATTTCTTGAGCCCTCACTATATTCTCTGCTAAGCTCTTTACATGTATGAATTTACTTAATCTTCACAAGCACCCCAAGAAGTAGATACTGTTGTCCCTACTTTACAGATGAGGAAATGGAAGCACAAAATTAAGGACCTTGCTGAAGGTCATGGAGTAGAGGCAAGATTCAAATTTAGGGAACTCAGCCCAGAATCCATGCTCTTAAAGGTGTTATATACTGTCTCTGGGCTTAGAAGGGGTTCATCTTAGGCCGGGTGTGGTGGCTCATGTCTGTAGTCCCAGCACTTCGGGAGGCTGAAGCAGGCGGATCACAAGGTCAGGACTTCGAGACCAGCCTGGCCAACATAGTAAAACCCCGTCTGTACGAAAAATACAAAAATTAACTCGGCATCGTGGCACATGCCTGTAGTCCCAGCTCAGAAGGCTGAGGCAGGAAAATCACTTGAACCTGGGATGCGGAGGTTGTGGTGAGCTGAGATTGCACTACTGCACTCCAGCCTGGGCAACAGAGCGAGACTCTGGAAAAAAATAATAAAGAAGAAGGGATTCATCTTGACCGACCTGAATTGGTAGAGCTTGATAGAGTGGTCCTTCCTGGATCCTTCCCTGCCTACAGAGCCTGTCTTTTTTCTGATTGGTCCCTAAGGCTAGACTGCCTGTCCCTAATAGTGAGCAGAAGCTGGTGAATGAAACGAGATCCCTCAGGAAAAAGAAAAAAAGAAAGAGAGAGAGAGAAATGAAACGAGATTCCTTCTCTACAGCCCAGCTGTGCCCTTCACCACCTGGGTGACCCCACTGCTCTGAACATATATCCTCATCTGTAAAGTGGAGATAAGATTACTTCAGGCCGGGCGCGGTGGCTCAAGCCTGTAATCCCAGCACTGTGGGAGGCCGAGGCGGGTGGATCACGAGGTCAAGAGATCGAGACCGTCCTGGCCAACATGGTGAAACCCCGTCTCTACTAAAAATACAAAAAATTAGCTGGGCATGGTGTTGCGTGCCTGTAATCCCAGCGACTCAGGAGGCTGGGGCAGGAGAATTGCCTGAACCTGGGAGGCGGAGGTTGCGGTGAGCCGAGATCGCGCCATTGCACTCCAGCCTGGGTAACAAGAGCGAAACTCCGTCTCAAAAAAAAAAAAAAAAAAAAAAAGATTACTTCATTGGATCATTTAGAGGATTAAATAAGATAATGTACTTAGTGGTTTCTGGCTCTGAGTACGTGCATAATAAATACAAGCAATTTTTATTATCATTGTCCTTAGCCTTGAAAACAAGCCAGGAAATAGTTTCTCAGAGACCAGATGCTAAGTAAGACCTAGGTAGACAGGCAGTTTTCCCTTGGTTTTGACAAGACAATAATTTTATCCTATGTATTTCTCTTGACTTTTTTGATGTGAAAAGCAGAGAGGTAAAGCATTATTTGACAGATGTATGGATTCAAGCAAGAAACTGAGGTCCAATTGCAAAGAAATGGCTTGTATAACTCAGAGCCCTGTCTGAGGAGACACAGAGGACCCTAGAGGGCGGAGAATGAACACAGCGCAGGGGCTAGTTCCAGAGTCGCATTCTCGGTTAGTTCACTTTCAAGTGTGGGTGAGGGTCCCTTGTCAGTAGGCAGATTTTTTTTTCCCCTGCATCAACACATTATTTGCTGGCTAGTGTTTATTAAATGAAACTTTAATGTGCAATAGAATTTATGATTTGTCCAAAATGGAGAGAGAAGGGAGCTCCTTAACAGGCTTGTTGAGCCCCTTTTCCCACCCGTTCCTGTGCCAGACTTTCCCAAAGGCTTACTTGCCAATGGTTGCTTCTCAGATTGCAGGGCTAGCTCACTCTGTAAGCTCCAAGCCAGAGTGATACTGCCACCACCGCTGTTGCTCCCACCAGCCATTCAGTTTCCTGCTCTAAGGATGTAACTTTGCTGTGAAGCTTTCACCTTCCTCCTTTCTTCCTGTCTTCTGTGTTGTATGTCTTTGTCCTGGTGCTTTTGCCATACAGCCAGTGTTTGAAAGGAAATTTTCGGCACCAAAGTTATAGCCCTTACTACCTTTCCAAGGAGATGTGAGTTAGCCATGGAAAAGAAGAGGGCTCCTCTGCCTCTGTGCAGAAGGAAGAGTTTGCTTCTTGATAGTGTGCTAGCTCCTGAGCTAAGTGGGGGACTTGCCGGGACTCAAGAGAGTGCACCTGACCTCTGGACAAGTAGACTGGGCATAGCCTGCCCAAGAACAGCACCTAATCTACAAGAACCAAGGCTGAAGACTGATTTCACCTTCTCGCACTCCCCTTCCCTTGCACTCCCTTAAGCTTGCTCTGCAACACTGCCCCAGGTCTGTGGCTTAAAACAGCCATTTCCTTTCACCAGTGAATAAGCTCACTCTTTATAAAAATGTTTCAGCTTGGGGATTGGAAAGGCTCTCTGTGCCTTTCCATCTCTTATCTATTTCTTCAAGGGTTGATGTTGATGGTTTCTGTCTTTGTCTTTACAGGGAACTCTAATGATCCAAGACAAAGAAGTTACCCTCGAGTATGTACCAAGCCTGGATTTTTGGTACTGCAAACGAGTAAGTACCAAGAATTCCTTTCTTTAGAAGTAAGCATCCGGAATAACACCTCCTCCATATCTCTAGGAAGGCTGCCTGCTAACATGCATTCCCAAGGACAAAGCTCTTCTTCCTCAGCTCAATTCAGTTAAACAGGAAGAGGTCAAGGCAAGGTCATTCATAATTTCTCCTTCCCAGCTGCTACATCTGACCATAGAGGGTTCTGGACCTGCAATTGGAGATACTTTCTCAAGGACATGTGCCATGATTTCTGTCAGTTATAAAAATAACAGTTCCTTGACATATACTGTTTTCTCATCTCTCCTGAGGGTGGTCATAAAGGAATTCTTATTTGGAAAAGTAGGTTTGGAGAGACTAGTTCTGTGGGAGTTGTACATTTTTTGGATATTTTTTCTATCTCCATGGATTTGCCTGTTCTGGATATTTCATATAAATGAAATTAAAATATGTAACCTTTTGTGTTGTTGGCCTTTCACTAGCATGTTTTCAGAGTCCACGTGTGTTGTAGTATTTATCAGTACCTCGTTTCTTTTTATGGCTAAATAATATAGATATATCACATTTTGTTCATTAGTTGATGGACATTTGGGTTGTATCTGCCTCTTGACTTTGGTGAATGATAGAACCTTTGTGTGCTAGTTTTTGTTTGAACAGCTGTTTTCAATTATTTGGGGGTATGTATCCAGGAGTGGAATTGCTGGGTTATATGGTACTTTTATATTTAACTCTTTGAGGAACCACCAAACTGTTTTCCTTTTATTATTATTATTAGCAAACTTTTTCATAGACCACAGCTGCACTATTTTATATTCCTATCACCAATATGTAAGGGCTTCTTTCTCCCCCTCCTTGCCAACATTTATTATTTTTCCTTTTTTTGATAATAGCCATCTTAGTGGGTATGAAAAATATCTCATTGTGGTTTTGATTTGCATTTCCCCAATGACTTTGAGGATCTTTTCATGTGTTCATTGGCCATTTGTATATCTCTTTTTGAGAAATGTTCAACCAAGTGCTTTGCCCTTTGGAAGTGGTTTCTGTGTCTTTTTGTTGAGTTGTAAGAGTACTTTATATTTTCTGGATATTAATCCCTTTTCAGACATATGATTTGTAAATATTTTCTATGTGTTAACTTTCACTTTCTTGAGAGTATCCTTTTTTAAAAAAAAGAGAGAGAGAGTGTGTTAAGGTCAGCCAGGTGTGGCTCGTGACTATAATCCCAACACTTTGGGAAGCAGAGGTGGGCAGATCACTTGAGCCCAGGAGTTTGAGACCAACATGGCAAAACCCATCTCTGTGGTGGTGCATTGCCTGTAGTCCTTGCTACTCAGGAGGCTGAGGTGGGAGGATCACCTGAGTCCAGGAGCTCGAGGCAGCAGTGACCCATGATAGTGCCACTGTACTTCAGTATTCCAGCCTGGGTGACAGAGGAAGACTTTGTTGCAAAAAAAAAAAATTTTTTTTTAAGTTTATTATATACCTATTAAGTAATTAAAACAAATGTTAACAGTGGTATTATTTATAATAGCCAAAAAATGGAAATAACTAAAATGTCCATTAGCTGATGAATGGATGAACAAAATTAGCATATCCATACAATGAAATGGTTTTTGACAGTGAAAAGGAATGAAATACTGAATCATGTTACAACCCAGATGAACCTTGAAACTACTATGCCAGACACAAAAAAGCATACATTGCACAATTCCATGTCCCTAGGGGTAAGAATGGGAGGTGACTTCACTAGATTTCCTTTGGGGTGATGAAAATGTTTCAAAATTAGATGGTGGTGATGGTTGCGCTATACATTTACTAAAAATCGTTGACTCGTACATGTAAAATAGGTAAGTTTTATGGGTTTTGTTTTTGTTTTTAAGACAGAGTCTTGCTTTGTCACCCAGGATGGAGTGCAGTGGCACAATCTTGGCTCACTACAACCTTCACCTCCACCTCCACCTCCACCTCCACCTCCTGGGTTCAAGCAATTCTCATGTCTCAGCCTCCTGAGTAGCGAGATGGGGTTTCTCCATGTCAGCCGTGCTGGTGTTGAACTCCTGGCTTCAAATGATCCAACCGCCTTGGCCTCCCAAAGTGCTAGGATTACAGGCATATGCCATCATGCCAGACCTGTTTTATGGTATTTAAATTATACCTACTAAGGTTAGGATCCTAATTGCGCCACTCACTAGCTGAAGTGTCACACACTTCATTCATTCACATGTAGATATTCAGTTGTCCCAGCACCATTTGTTGAGAGACTATTCTTTCCCCATAGGCACTTTCCCCATTATCAAAAATCAGTTGACCATAATCTATAGGTTTATTTCTAGATTCTCAGTTTTATTCTGTTGATCTATATGTTTACACACAGCAGTAGTTACTATAGCAGCTCTCCTGTGGTAACAACCCTCAAATCCCAGTGGCTTAAAACAATAAACATATTCTTCACTCACATTACATGTCAGGGACTATGGGTTGTTTGCTACAGTTCTGTTCCACATGGTTTCTCATCCCAGCACCCAGGCAGAAGAAACAGTCTCAATATGGGACAGTGTTCTTCTGGCTAAGGGAGAAGTTCATTCATACAAGCATTGGCTTCTAAAGCTTTTCTTAGACCTGGTGTAGGTCATGTTGACTCACGTTCTATTGGCGAAAGCAAAGAAGACACATGGCCAAGGATGACAATGGAGAAAGGAAGTGTACTCGCCCTATAGGGAGGCATGACAGCCTTTGGTAGTGGGGAGGGTATGTGTGTATTTGTGTGTAATCGGCTTATAGTGAAGGGAACAATGAAATAACTGATTATAGTGATCTTATTCAAGTGATTTAACCTTTCTAGGCCTCAGTTTCCTCATCTACAAAATGAGGAGATAGTAGTACCCATTTTCATGGAGTTAATTGGGGTTGCCAGGATCAATAAGTGATGACATATATAGTAGACCAGATACATGGTATGTGCTATTTAAGAATTAGCCACTACTGGCCATGTGCGGTGGCTCACGCCTGTAATCCCAGCACTTTGGGAGGCTGAGAGGTGGCCAGATCACCTGAGGTCAGGAGTTTGAGACCAGCCTGACGAACATGGAGAAACCCCGCCTCTACTAAAAATACAAAATTAACCAGGCGTGGTGGTGCATGCCTGTAATCCCGGCTACTCGGGAGGCTGAGACAGGAGAATCACTCGAACCTGGGAAGTGGAGGTTCTGGTGAGCCAAGTTCATGCCATTGCACTCCAGCCTGGGAAACGAGCAAAACTCCGTCTCAAAAAAAAAATTAGCCACTGCTACTGTTGTTATTGTTTTCTCCTCGACTCCATGGTTCTTACTCTGGTTTCCCACCAGCCAAGTTTCTGTCCCTCGTGGCATTTGGAAGGTCAGTAGCAAAAGTTCAAAGTTTCAGGGTTGAGCAGTGTGCTTGACTATTTGTTCACATGTGCAGGCAAGAATAATTATATTCACATTAAAAATCTCTTCCCAGCTGGGCATGGTGGCTCATGCCTCTAATCCCAGCATTTTGGGAGACTGAGGCGGGTGGATTGCCTGAGCTCAGGAGTTAGAGACCAGCCTGGGCAACATGGTGAAACCCTGTCTCTACTAAAATACAAAAAATTAGCCAGGTATGGCAGCGTGTGCCTTTAGTCCCAGCTACTCGGGAGGCTGAGGCAGGAGAATTACTTGAACCTGGGAGGCAGAGATTGCAGTGAGCCGTGATCACGCACCACACTGTACTCCAGCCTTGGCAACAGCGAGACTCTCTCCAAAATTTAAAAAAAATTTTAAAGATTGTCTCTTCCCTTATTCTGGGCTAGTGAATGTTCCCTTTCAGTATCTTTTAGATAGCTGCCAGAGACATAACCTGCATCTCTTCCTCCTACCTCATGCCTCATTATTAGTGTTTAAGAAAGGAGTTGATGGCCGGGTGCAGTGGCTCACACCTGTAATCCCAGCACTTTGGGAGGCTGAGGCAAGTGGATCATGAAATCAGGAGTTCAAGACCAGCCTGGCCAACAAGTGAAACCGTGTCTCTATAAAAAAATAATAATAATAAAAAATTAAAAAGGAGTTGATAATTGAATTCTTGTCAGTTCTAGCCAACTGTGAATGAGGATCTCACAACCAATTCAGGCCCAGGTTTTGGGTGCAGACTGTAAATGGCCTTGGGATAATAATATTCTATAAACCATTTAACAGTAGTTTTCTAGGCATATTTCCTATAGTAATCTTTATCCAGGGCAAAAGCATTTGGGCTGCACCAAAGTCCCAGGTGCCTGTTAGAAGGTAGCTCGCAAACAGTAGCTCATCAGATCCTGTCTGCCAGATCTGATCAGTGGGGAATATCAGTTTCTTTTTTTAAGCTTTGAGTGGATCTGGGATATGGCTTCTTTCATTTTTAGGAGGTTTTACTTTGTTAGATGTACATAGGTTTTTAAAAATGTTTTCTGTCAAATTCAATTATTTCCTCCTTCCTTCCAGTGTAAGGCAAGCGTTGGTGGGCACCGATCTTCCTGTTCATTCTGCAAGAACCCAAGGGAAGGTGAGTGGCAGAAGTGGTAGCAGTTTTTATCTTGTGCATTGAGCAAAACAAATTTTTTAATTTTTTTTTTGAGACGGAGTCTCGCTCTGTTGCCAGTCTATCCTGGCTTCAAGTGATTCTCCTGCCTTAGCTTCCTGAGTAGCTGGGACTACAAGCACACACCACCACACCCAGCTGATTTTTGTATTTCTAGTAGAAACAGGGTTTCACCATGTTGGCCTGGATGGTCTCAATTTCTTGACCTCATGATCCACTCACCTCCACCTCCCAAAGTCCTGGGATTACAGGCGTGAGCCACTGTGCCTGGTGAGCAAAACAAATTTCATGCTTTCCTTGGCTTTAAAGAATTATCATCCCTAAATCCAAGTTGATCTACAAATCCTTTTTTTTTTTTTTTTTTTCCCCCCAGACAGAGTCTCGCTTTGTCACCCAGGCTGGATTGTAGCGGCACGGTCTTGGCTCATTGTAACCTCTGCCTCCCAGGTTCAAGCAATTCCCCTGCCTCAGCCTCATGAGTAGCTGGGATTACAGGCACATGCCACCATGCCCAGCTAATATTTTTGTATTTTTAGTAGAGATGTGGTTTCACCATGTTGGTCAGGGTGGTCTTGAACTCCTAATTCATGATCTGACTACCTCACCCTCGCAAAGTGCTAGGATTACAGGCATGAGCCACTGCACCTGGCCTACAAACCTTTTAAAAGTGGAGTTTGGGCTGGGCACAGTGGCTAATGCCTGTAATCTCATCACTTTGGGAGGCCGAGGCAGGTGGATCACCTGAAGTCAAGAGTTCGAGACCACCTGTCCAACATGCCAAAGTCCTGTCTCTACCAAAATTACAAAAATTAGCCAGGTGTGGTGGCACATGCTTGTAATCCCAGCTACTCTGGAGGCTGAGGCACGAGAATCACTTGAACCCAGGAGTCAGAGGTTGTAGTGGGCCAAAATCATGCCACTGCACTCAGGCCTAGGCAACAGAGTGAGGAAAAAAAAAAAAAAAAAATATATATATATATATATATATATATATATATATATGTATATGTATTGCCATTAGATGCCCAACTTAACCTGATCTGTTAGTAAATGATTTCAGATGTCAGTTTCACCAGAGGAAAGAGATAGGGTTGTGGGCTCCTAGGCTAAAGTGGGTAAGTGGGCAGCTGAACAGAGGTCAGTATATATATATATATGTGTATATATATATATATATATATATATATATATATTTTTTTTTTTTTTTTTTTTTTTTTTTTTTTTTGAGACGGAGTTTCGCTCTTGTTAGCCAGGCTGGAGTGCAATGGCGCGATCTCGGCTCACCGCAACCTCCGCCTCCTGGGTTCAAGCAATTCTCCTGCCTCAGCCTCCCGAGTAGCTGGGACTACAGGCGTGCGCCACCATGCCCAGCTAATTTTTGTATTTTTAGTAGAGACGGGGTTTCACCATGTTGACCAGGATGGTCTTGATCTCTTGACCTCGTGATCCACCCGCCTCGGCCTCCCAAAGTGCTGGGATTACAAGCGTGAGCCACCGCGCCCGGTCTTAGGTCAGTATATTTTTATTTGGAATACATTTAAGGATTAAGGATGTTAGGTTGGAAAAGAGTCTTTATGACATCAGTCTATGTGGCAAATCTTTCTTCCACCTCCACTTATTTGAAGTTATTGGGAATCATTTGCTCTATTGTTTTCTCATTTACACCGTGTAAGCATTTCAGGATTTTCAAGAGAAAAGCATCTGTTAAAATAACAGTAAAATTATAAATTAGAGGCCAGGCGTGGTGGCTCATGCCTGTAATCCCAGCACTTTGGGAGGCTTAGACGGGTGGATCACCTGAGGCCGAGAGTTCAAGACCAGCCTGGCAAAAATGGTGAAACCCCGTCTCTACTACAAATAAAAATTAGCCGGATGTGGTCGCATGTGCCTATAGTTCCAGCTACTCGGGAGGCTGAGGCAGGAGAATCGCTTGAACCCAGGAGGCGGAGATTGCAGTGAGCCGAGATCGTACCACTGCACTCCAGCCTGAACAACAGAGTGAAAGTCTCTCTCAAAATATATATATATATGAGAAAATAATCAGGATTTGGGGAACATGCTATTATTTTTCAGGAATGAAACTATCAGCTTTCAAGTACTTAACTTTAATGTAAAATTTTTTAGAGAAATTTTAGGTAGGCAACCTTAAAGAGTCAGTCACATGCATCTGTAACAACAATCCTATAGTCATCCCTTAAGGAAAGCCACAGCATGACCATAAAATATAGTTCAGTGCAAGGATTCAGGTAGCCTTCTATTTGTTCCAAGGTTAGAATTTAATGTCCCTACGAGGAATTTCTTAGCTGGGCTTTTGACCTGTTGTGGAGATTTTACTCTGGTGAAGACTGAAAGGCAGGTGTTCTGAAAATCTTTAGGGAAAGGCTCTGTATGCTCTCAAGACCAAACCAAAATGTGGGAAGGGGGATGAACAACTGAGATTTTTGCTTGTTGGGTCACTTTAGGTTAGGCAAACTTGTGTTCCTCCACCCCTCCAACAAGAAAGACTTTTTCATAGCTATTCTAACAAATGAATAGATGGTTTATGAAAACCAGTGGACACCTTACCACTAACAAGAGACAACTTTAATCTGGAAACCTATCACTACTATTATAGAATCTCTATATTGCTCTCATATAATCTCTTTTTGAGCCACATGATTTCTAATGAACCCTCCAAGAATGAATTAATTACAAGAATGTGCTCCTAATTATAAAACAAACTATAAAGACAAATTATCCTGCTGTAGTAGAACATTTGAAATAAATTATTTATATTTTGAAGGACATCTGCCCATTATGCTTATTTGTATGTAAATCAGCTACTTGCAGATAGGTCTGTTCCTAGCTTCACTGGAGAAGGAGGGCCTGTGGTCTTACAGGATTTGAGTAATTGTTTGAGTACTATAACACTGGAAGAAACAAGGCTTCTAGACGTGTGTTTGGGATATGTGTTTCTACCAAACTTTTTTTACATTTTTTTTTTTTTTTTTTGAGACGGAGTTTTCGCTCTTGTTACCCAGGCTGGAGTGCAATGGCACGATCTCGGCTCACCGCAACCTCCGCCTCCTGGGTTCAGGCAATTCTCCTGCCTCAGCCTCCCGAGTAGCTGGGATTACAGGCACGTGCCACCATGCCCAGCTAATGTTTTTTTGTATTTTTAGTAGAGACGGGGTTTCACCATGTTGACCAGGATGGTCTCGATCTCTTGACCTCATGATCCACCCGCCTCAGCCTCCCAAAGTGCTGGGATTACAGGCTTGAGCCACCGCGCCCGGCCTTTTTTCTTTTTCTTTTTTTTTTTTTTAAGACAAAGTTTCCCTCTTGTTGCCCAGGCTGGAGTGCAGTGGCATGATCTCGGCTCACTGCAACCTCTGCCTTCTGGTTTCAAGCAATTCTCCTGCCTCAGCCTCCCGAGTAACTGGGATTACAGGTGCCTGCCACCAAGCCTGGCTAATTTTGTATTTTGAGTAGAGATGGGGTTTCACCATGTTGGTCAGACTGATATCAAACTACTGACCTCGTGATCCGCCTGCCTCAGCCTCCCAAAGTGCTAGGATTACAGGAGTGAGCCGCCACGCGCAGCTCTACCAAACCTTTAGTAAGGGCCATACATTCGGTAATTTTGTCCCCAGAATTTATCATTGATTATAATAGTCAGGTTCAGGGTATTATTCATTATATTTAAATGTTTGGTAGGTGATAGAGATTTCATAAGATTACATTTTTAAAATGCTTGGATAGAGTCTTCTGTGGACTGTTTCATGCCTTGTCTCAGCTTCGCTTAAAATCTTTTGCCAGGAACTGTCAGAGGACTTTTTATTAGGTATTTCTGAGACAATATTAAAAGCATTCCAGGCCGGGCGCGGTGGCTCAAACCTGTAATCCCAGCACTTTGGGAGGCCGAGGCGGGTGGATCACGAGGTCAAGAGATCGAGACCATCCTGGTCAACATGGTGAAACCCCGTCTCTACTAAAAATACAAAAAATTAGCTGGGCATGGTGGCGCGTGCCTGTAATCCCAGCTACTCGGGAGGCTGAGGCAGGAGAATTGCCTGAACCCAGGAGGCGGAGGTTGCGGTGAGCCAAGATCGCGCCATTGCACTCCAGCCTGGGTAACAAGAGCGAAACTCCGTCTGAAAAAAAAAAAGAAAAAAAAAAAAGCATTCCAGGCTGAGGGTGTTGGCTCATGCTTGTAATCCCAGCACTCTGGGAGGCCGAGGCAGGTGGATCACCTGAAGTCATGAGTTCGAGACCAGCCTGGCCAACATAGTGAAACCCCATCTCTACAAAAAATACAAAAAAATTAGCCGGGTGTGGTGGCGGGTCCCTATAATCCCAGCTATTTGGGAGGCTGAGGCAGGAGAATCGCTTGAAATCGGGAGGCAGAGGTTGCAGTGAGCCAAGATCATGCCATTGCTCTCCAGCCTAGGCAACAAGAGCAAAACTCCATCTCCCCCCCCCCCAAAAAAAAAAAAAGGCATTCTAATATGAGTATTTGCTGGCAGGTAAGAAGAAATTACAGTAGTAGTGTTTTTGTTGTTGTTGTTTTTTATAAAGCCTTCTAGGGATTCTCTTTGTTTCTGTTCCACTAGTGACAGAAGCCAAGCAAGAATTAATAACCTACCCTCAGCCCCAGAAAACATCTATACCAGCACCATTGGAAAAACAAGCCAACCAGCCCCTAAAACCTGCTGATAAGGAACCTGAACCCAGGAAGAGGGAAGAAGGACAAGAGTCCCGCTTAGGACATCAAAAGAGAGAAGCAGAAAGGTATCTGCCTCCTCGAAGGGAAGGGCCAACTTTCCGAAGAGACCGAGAGAAAGAGTCATGGTCTGGAGAGACACGCCAGGATGGAGAAAGCAAAAGTAAGTGGTTTGTCAGGGCACGTACCAGACTGTGACCATCACAGATGGGGCATAGATGGCCAATGTTGTGTCTGGGAGCTGTCTGCTTTCCAGTACCCTAAGAGATTTGTGCATGGCCTGATGACAGAAGCCATTGCTTTCTGTGGACCTTACTATACTCCTTAAAGCTATGCCCTTCAAATAGTAAATTGCCATATGAATGCAGTAAGGCATGATTTAATTTTTTTTTTTTTTTTTTTTTTTTTTTTTAAATTTTGAGATTAAGTCTCGCCCTGTTGCTCAGGTTAGAATGCAGTGGCACAATTTTGCCTCACTGCAGCCTCTGCCTCTGTTGCTCAGGTTAGAGTGCAGTGGCACAATTTTGGCTCACTGCAACCCCTGCCTCGGGTTCAAGTGACTCTCCTGCCTCAGCCTTGCAAGTAGCTGGGATTACAGGCATCTGCCACTGTACCCTGCTAATTTTTGTATTTTTAGTAGAGATGGGGTTAGGCTGGTCTCAAACTCCTGACCTCGTGAACCACCATGCCCAGCTGATTTTAGATTTTTAAGTATTGGTGAATAAAATTATTCAGTATTTATTTGTTGAGCATTTCTTTACAGAACCAGCCTTACTAGTAGCATCTGTAGTAAAAAATGACAGACTCCTGAAACTTCAAAAATTTCTCTTTCTCTCCCTTTTGTTGCTCTTCTCCCATTTATGGTTGGTTCAGCTATCATGCTAAAGCGTATCTATCGTTCCACACCACCTGAGGTGATAGTGGAAGTGCTGGAGCCCTATGTTCGCCTTACTACTGCCAACGTTCGTATCATCAAGAACAGAACAGGCCCTATGGGCCATACCTATGGCTTTATTGACCTTGACTCCCATGCGGTAAGTTTCCTCTACCTTGGATTGGTCTAGGGACAGATGGCTAAAGAACCTTCAAGAAGGTTTGAGTGATTTCTTGATCATTTGAATTCTTGTGTGCTACCTTGTATCATAATCCCTCTTACTCTCTCCTTTGGATTTACCATTCATTCAGGTAAGGTGACCGCCCTCAAAAATTAGAATCCTGTGTGGTTTTCCAGGTTCATTTTTGTCTTATGTCATTTACTGTTTCCAACTTATTTGCTTGTGAAGAATCTGAGTACTGAACCTTCAAGATTTTGGTGAACTTTCTGATTTACTTTGTTCAGCCACAGATGGTTTTATATTTGATGATAAAACATTTCCTCCTTTTCCTCAAAATATTTAATAGATCCCTGTGGCTTAAATTTTTAGTTGTGGGACCTTTTTCTATGGAAGTAAGGTAAAAATAATAATGAAAGTCATTGGTATTTCTTAGATTTCATGCTCAAAAGTCACAAGGAACTTAGTAAACTGGATCTAATTGATGATAGTTACTGCCTAAAAGAAGAGGATTTAGGGCCGGGCGCGGTGGCTTCCGCCTGTAATCCCAGCACTTTGGGAGGCTGAGGCGGGCGGATCACCTGAGGTTGGGAGTTCGAGACCAGCCTGACCAACATGGAGAAACCCCATCTCTACTAAAAATACAAAATTAGCCGGGCGTGGTGACACATGCCTGTAATCCCAGCTACTTGGGAGTTTGAACCAGGAGAATTGCTTAAACCTGGGAGGCGGAGGGAGGTTGCAGTGAGCTAAGATCGCACCATTGCATTCCAGCCTGGGCAACAAGAGTGAAACTCCATCTCAAAAAAAAAAAAAAAAAAAAAAAAGAGGATTTGAATTTCTGAAGTTTCGGCCAGAACTGACATCTATTATCTATTCTGATTCCTATTCCAATCAGTCCTTCATTAAAAGTTGCCTGTTTTTGCCAGTATGCTCCTACTGTTAAAATTTTGACCAGAATATAATGTAGTAAATTTACCCTCTGAGAAGGAAAATTCATGTTCATTTCTCTTTCAAAGGAGAATTTTTCTGTCTTTGGATTCTGGCTTTTTCTGTCTCTGGGTTCAAGTGTGTCTTTGGTTCTATAGGAAGCTCTTCGTGTGGTGAAGATCTTGCAGAACCTTGATCCACCATTTAGTATTGATGGGAAGATGGTGGCTGTAAACCTGGCCACTGGAAAACGAAGGTAAGGCAAAAGGGTGAGGATCTCTTGTGCTGCCCCCACTTGTGTTTTTGGGAGGAAACTTCTTTTCCTGGCTGGAAAGATAGTAAGGCATGATGTTTTCCTAACATAGACTGCTTCAGTTATGTGTTTATTAGTTTCTTTTTCTGAAGCCTAACCTGTTCTGACTCTTAAATTGTCTTCTTTCTTGAATAATACCAGGTACATTTGTCCTTTCCCTTTTGCCTGTCTGGTATCTTTGGATCCCAAGTGGCCTGGTGCAATAGCACCTACTTGTATTCCCAGCTACTAAGGAGGCTGAGGCAGGGGATTTACATGAGCCCAGGAGTTCCAGGCCATAGTGTGCAGTGATGATGCCTGTGAATAACCACTGTACTCCAACCTGGACAACACAGCAAGACCCCATCTCTTAATAAAAAAAAAATGGTGGTGCAGTTTTGGATGTGCAGACAGATCTCAATACATTCTTGCCCCTTGCAATCCTAGTAAAATGCTGTCCTGACTTTTCCTTCCCCTGACCTTGTTCATATTGCCATAGCCCTGAGAAATCTAATTCTTCTTTACTCCTTCACTCATCTTGACCCAGGAGTGGTAACTTGGAAATGGTCATATCAGAGAAACAGGCTTACCAATATGGGCCATATCTTGCTCTAGCACACTCCACTTAATGGCTCTTTTGCTCCAGTACTTGGCTTTTTGTGAGTCTTGCTGCTCCTTCCTTCAGGAGTATCTGGACCCCGCCCAACCTTCTTGTTGTCTAGGTTGGTTCCTTTCCTGCAAAATGGGGAATAGAGAATTTCTCAGTAGGAACTGTAGGATTAGGTACTTGTCAAGTGCCTTTTGGTAGCAGGCTTAAGAATTGTGTTATCTGTTACAGAAATGATTCTGGGGACCATTCTGACCACATGCATTACTATCAGGTAGGCTGTAACAGGTGGGGAATCCTGTATTAAAATCCTCAGGTGACTGAAAGGGTGATCTTGATTTTCTTCAGTGGGTGACTTGTTAAGGTGAATGGCTCTTGGATAGTTTTGTAATTTTAACTTGCCTTTCTATGATAGGGTAAAAAATATTTCCGAGATAGGAGGGGAGGTGGCAGAAATTCAGACTGGTCTTCAGATACAAATCGACAAGGACAACAGTGTAAGTAACCTTTGTTTTATTTCTGTTGCTCTCTTTTGCTTGACTTGCTACTCATTACTTGACATCTGTGATCACAGTTGGCAAGATCTGCTGTTGACTGAGGGTGCTCATCCAGAGAGAGAGACATCTATAGATGCACCTATTTGTGTTGGCCACCCTAATTCTTGGGTTGTTCTTGATGAGTCTCCAGTAAGGGCTTCATCAGACAGAGACTAACATTGGCTCTGATCTTGTTACGTTTAGCATCATCTGACTGCTACATATATGATTCCGCTACTGGCTACTATTATGACCCCTTGGCAGGAACTTATTATGACCCCAATACCCAGGTGAGTTTTGGGCTTTTTTTTTTTAAACTCTGTCAATGATCCTTTTGAGAAAAGCTTCCATAATTTGCTACTTTGAGGATTTTATTTCCTGGATTATCTGGATGCTCATTGCATGAAAAGTGGAAAGTTTAGATCTATGGAAACAGAACTTGATTGCTTATATGGAAAATCAGTGCCTTGTGGCAATACAGGTAAGAACAGTGTTGCTCTTGAAAAAGTGGACAATGGGTGGTCTGAATGTTTCCTGGTCCCTCGAGTGGGTTTTTAGATTGATGTGGACTCACCTCATCCTTGTAAGTAAAAGAGCTGTTTCTTCCCCTAGAAGGGAACTATGCTTCTTAGACCTGAAATTGGTGGGAAACCGAAACATTCTGTAGACTTATTTGTTTCCAACTGTATCGCAGCAAGAAGTCTATGTGCCCCAGGATCCTGGATTACCTGAGGAAGAAGAGATCAAGGAAAAAAAACCCACCAGTCAAGGAAAGTCAAGTAGTAAGAAGGAAATGTCTAAAAGAGATGGCAAGGAGAAAAAAGACAGAGGAGTGACAAGGGTAAGAGGACTTGTTAATCTGTTGTCTTTTGCCACATAATTACAGATTAAAACGTAGGAGGTATAAACATAGGATATCTAGATTTGCAATATGCAGTTACTTTAAAAATACTCTGTCAATAAGTATTTTTACCTAGTTTTGGCAGGTAAAAATTACCTGGTGTAGTCAATTCACTCACTTCTTATAGCCCATAGCAACTCTCTCTTTGTTTTTTTTGGTTGGTTGGTTTGTTTGTTTGTTTTAACACTCTCTCTTTTACAAATGGGAAGAAACTATGGATGGTAGAACAAAGTGACCCAGCTCAAATCCTAACACCTCAGCTCCACACATTTTCACTTTTCTGCATTCCCTTTTTAGTGTTTGACTCTATACACATTTCACTAGTTGTAATTATAGCAGGAGGTACTGTTTAATCACTTTTTGTCGTAAGTATTTTTTCCATGGTTCTATAATACTCTATTGTTTTTAATGCCTACATGGTAAAAATTCATAGTATAACTATACCTTCATTGTCTTCATCTCTCCTGCATTATTTGTCTTCTCTTTCTAATGTTTTCTTTTTCTTTCTTTTCTTTTCGAGACAAGATCTTCCTCTGTCTCCCAGGTTAGAGTGCAGTGGCATGATCATAGCATGCTATAACCTCAAACTCCTGTGCTTAAGCAATCTGCCCACCTCAGCCTCCCAAGTAATGGGGACTACAGGCATGAGCCACCATGACCAGCTAATTTTTGCTTTTTTGTAGAGACAGGATCTCACTAGATTAGCCAGGCTGGTCTCAAACTTCTGGCCTTAAGTAATCCTCCTGCCTCATTCTCTCAAAGTGCTTCACTTACAGGCATGACCCACCTTGCTCACCTCTTTCTAATCTTACACTGTCATAATATGTAGCATTTAGCATTTTATTTTCTTCTTTTAAATTGCTTCCTTATGGCACATTTTCAGAATCAGAGATAATAAACATTTTTACATCTAATATAAAGTCAAATTATTAGGCAGGGTTCATGCCTATAATCTGAGCACTTTGGGAGGCCAAGACAGGCCAAAAATACAAAAAAAATTAGCTGGCTGTGATGGCACATGCCTGTAGTCCAGGCTACTTGGGAGACTGAGGCAAGTGGATTACTTGAGAGCCCAGGAGATTGCAGTGAGCTGTGAGTGCACCACTATACTCGAGCATGGACAATGGAACCAGACCTTGTCTCAAAAAAAAAAAAAAAAAAAAAAAAAAAATCTGCCAGCGTGGCTCATGCCTATAATTCCAGCACTTTGAGAGGCCAAAGCAGGTGGATCACTTTAGGTCAGGAGTTCAAGACCAGCCTGGCCAAAATGATGAAACTCTGTCTATACTAAAAATACAAAAATTAGCCACGCATGGTGGCGCACACCTATGGTCCCAGCTACTTGGGAGGCTGAGGCAGGAGAATCACTTGAACCTGAGAGGTGGAGGTTGCAGTAAGCTTGATATTAGTTTATGCATTAGTGAAAATGGATGAATTTGTTTATGGTTCAATTTATAACATTTTTTTTTTCCAACACTGTTAGTTGTTTAGAGATACAGAAAAGAGAAGAGAGAGTGTGTTTTTAAAGAACTTAGAGTCATATTTGTTTAATATTTGGACTCTGCTTCACCCACTTAATCTAATTGTAGTCCCAATCATTTGTAAAATTAAGATAGGGAGGCTAGGCATGGGGTGGATCATGAGGTCGAGAGATTGAGACCATCCTGGCCAACATGGTGAAATCCTGTCTCTGCTAAAAATACAAAACTTAGCTGGATGTGGTGGCACTCACCTGTAGTCCCAGCTACTCGGGAGGCTAAGGCAGGAGAATTGCTTGAACCCACGAGGCGGAGGTTGTAGTGAGCCCTATGTAGGAGGATCATAATAAAGTCTGAAGAAGACAATGTGATATATACATGCCTCCTCTGGTCTGACATACTGTAATCATGCAATACATACTAATATTATATATTACATTTTATTTTTTGAGATAGAGTCTTGCTCTGTTGCCCAGGCTGGAGTGCAGTGGTACGATCTTGGCTCACTGCAGCCTCCACCTCCCAGGTTCCAGCATTTCTCCTGCCTCAGCCCCACCAAGTAGCTGGGATTACAGGCCCACACCACCATACCCAGCTAATTTTTTTAGTAGGAACTCGATTTCACCATGTTGGCCAGGCTGGCCTTGAACTCCTGACTTCAAGTGATCTGCCCACCTCAGCCTCCCAAAGTGCTGGGATTATAGACATGAGCCACTGCGCCTACTGATGTTATATATTTTAAAGGTTCTTTATTTCAAATTCACTATAGCAGTGTTACAGATATTTCTGTAATGTTGAATTAGGAGGTTTTGAAAATTAACCTAATTTCAACAGGGTTAGCTCTTAATCAGGTTTTTTTGTTGCTGTTTTTTTGAGACAAAATCTCACTCTGTTGCCCAAGCTGGAGTGCAGTGGCGCCATTGTGGCCTACTGTGACCTCTGCCTCCTGGGTTCAAGCAATTTTCCTGCCCTAGCCTCCTGAGTAGCTGGGATTACAAGCACCCGCCACCACGCCCAGCTAATTTTTGTATTTTTATTAGAGATGGGGTTTACCATGTTGCCCAATCTGGTCTCAAACTCCTGACTTCGGGTGATCCGCCCACCTCAGCCTCCCAAAGTGCTGAGATTATAGGCATAAGCCACTGCACCTGGCCTTAAGCAATTTTTTGTTTTGTAACAACAAAACATTGTTTTGTTTCCAACATGGAGTTTCGCTCTTGTTGCCCAGGCTAGAGTGCAATGGTACGATATTGGCTTACTGCAACCTCTGCCTCTCGGGTTCAGGTGATTCTCCTGCCTCAGCCTCCTGGGTAGCTGGGATTACAGGCCTCTGCCACCATGCCCAGCTAATTTTTATATTTTTAATAGAGACAGGGTTTCGCCATGTTGGCCAGGCTGGTCTCCAACTCCTGACCTCAGGTGATCTGCCCGTCTCAAGCCTCCCAAAGTGCTGGGATTACAGGTTCTAGCCACCACACCCAGGCTTAATCATTTTTTATGAGTGAATATCATATGAGAGTTACCTCTGGTTTGATCAGTTTCAGGAAAATGCCAGTGAAGGGAAGGCTCCTCCTGAAGACGTCTTTAAGAAGCCCTTGCCTCCTACTGTGAAGAAGGAAGAGAGTCCTCCTCCAGTAAGGCCAACTTTGATCCCCTGGGCTTAGGGCTGGGGGTGGGTTTGGTTCTGAGTGAGAAAGAAAGCTCAACAGCTGATGTTGTCCTCTGGGATTGGTCTTTTACCTCACTGTGTCTCCTGAATAAGGATTTCCGTTTATTTTGAGTACAAGCATGAGTTAAAGTTTCTTGTCTGCTAATGGGGACGTTACTCGACAACCAGAGGCAGTTATCTGCCCTCTTTCTCTCTATCCTATGCCATTCTTAACAGACGAGATGCCTAGTCCTTTTTATCATCTTGTTCTTGTCATTTCTCTAAATCACCAAGGAAACCCATTTTACTAGCCTCAATGTTTCCTGCCTTTTGGTGTCACACAAGATATGGAGTACCTGTGTGCTCATTTTTTATAGTTTCTGCCTGGACAGAGTGAACAATGCTAATATTGGTGCCCATTTTTTAGAAGTCTTCAAGCGCTAGTCTCAATCTAATCACCAGTGATTCTGATTGAATGCAATTATATAACAATAGTGACCATGCATTATCTCTTTGTTTTGATTGCTCACAGACCAGTGACTATACATCATTATTTAACAGTTCCTATAAGGTGCTCTTTTTCTGCTCCACATTATTAATTCAACTCCTTATAGCTTCTCTCCTAACCATGTCTTTGCTTTTACCTTTCATATGAGCTAGATCTGTCTACCCAAGTGCCTATCAATGCAGTTGCTTTTAGTTTACTTCCTAAATCCTCTTTGCTAGAGTCTCGATGAAAGTCATCTTTTCTTCCTCCATGAGTTACAGTAATTTGGAGGTATTTTTCTCTTCCTCTTCGTAATTTTTAACCTCTTAACTGTTACTGTTTTCTGTGCTTATTCTCCTTTCTCTTCCTTCTCACATTCTGTTGCTAGAGTCACTTCTAAAGGAATCTCTCTTGTCTATTCTCAATGTGCAAGGAGCAAAGCCAAGCTCTGGCCATGTTGCCTCCATCTGGGAAATGAGCAGCATGGTTAATGAGCCTATTATGAACCCAATTCATTATTCCATCTGAAAGAGAACAAAGAAATGAGAAGCCCATATCAGAATATCCAAAAAATGGATCCCAAAATATAGGCTGAATTTGATACTGATCCCTGGCCTTCTCCTTCCAGCCTAAAGTGGTAAACCCATTGATCGGCCTCTTGGGTGAATATGGAGGAGACAGTGACTATGAGGAGGAAGAAGAGGAGGAACAGACCCCTCCCCCACAGCCTCGAATAGCACAGCCCCAGAAGCGAGAGGAGCTAACAAAGAAGGAGAATGAAGAAGACAAACTCACCGACTGGAATAAACTGGCTTGTTTGCTCTGCAGAAGGCAGTTTCCCAATAAAGAAGTTCTGATCAAACACCAGCAGCTGTCAGACCTGCACAAGGTATTAGAGGAAGGACCTATATCCTTTCAAACTGTTGACTCTTATTCTTGATGGGCATTATAGGGAATAAAGAAGCTTATACAGGCCAAGCATGGTGGCTCGTACCTGTAATCCCACCACTTTGGAGGCCATGGGAGGTAGATCGCTTGAGGTCAGGAGTTTGAGACCAGCCTAGCCAACATGGTAAAATTCTGTCTCTACTAAAAATACAAAAATTACGTGGATGTGGTGGCACACACCTATAATCCCAACTACTTGGGAGTCTGAGGCAGGAGAAGCGCTTAAACCTGGGAGGTGGAGGTTGCAGTGAACCGAGATCACAACACTGCACTCCAGCCTAGGTGACACAACAAGACTCCATCTCAAAAAAAAAAAAAAAAAAAAAAAAAATGAAGAAGCAGCAGCTTATACAATCCTTCCTCAGCACATATCAGCTCCAGTTCCTATCATTAAAACAGTCCAATTCAAGAATGAATTGCTCTGGATTAAGGTTATGCCCACCTTCAAAGAACTTCCATTTGTAGACCCAAGCCAAACATTGTGGCTTTGGCTAGGGTGGCAAATATGAAAGTTGGGTAGGAAGAGAAAGGGTTGTGGAATAGGACACTTACTTGCTGGATTTCTCATCTTAGCTCTGTCATTAACATTACAGTTGGACCTCAGATAAGCCCCTTTTCTTCTTCGGTCCTTCTAACTTCAACTGGTTCTATCCAGCTCTGACAGTGTGCAGTTTTCACCATAGGTGAATCAAATTCTGCCATGTCTTCATGTAGTGAATATTGTTATGAGCCAGAGCACAACAGCTATTCTTGGGATGTTAAACTAACAAACATTGGTCTTCCCCTGCAGGATTCCTATTTATATGTACAGACCAAGGATCCAAATTATGGATAAATAAAGTCTCTAAATGGACTCACATTCTCAGAGCAATTTGAGAATGAGAATTTCACACCCCTTCTCTGGTAGACATTGCAAGAGCAGGTGATGGGACTAGATTTAGACTTTCTCTGAACACAGAACTCAAAGTTTCATTTAGCTAAAAGCTGAGAAGCTCTGCTTTTGGTAATAGGTACACTACTTTTCCCAGCCATCTCATGTGGAGGCTCTGCAAAGATAGGACTCTGAAAAGCTCCTCCTGATAATCCCTGGAACAAACTACCTCCCATGTCCCTTTGACTTGAAATTCTGAATTACCAGACTGACACATTGGAATTTCACCCGTCTGGTATAAATGCTAATAAATGGCCAAAGCAATAAAAAGTAATTGTTGGCCGGGTATGGTGGCTAACGCCTGTAATCCCAACACTTTGAGAGACCAAGGCGGGTGGATCACCTGAGGTCAGGAGTTTGAGACCAGTCTGACCAACATGGTGAAACCCCATGACTACTAAAAATACAAAAATTAGCTGGGTGTGGTGGCGCATGCCTGTAATCCCAGCTACTCAGGAGGTTAAGGCAGGAGAATCACTTGAACCTGGGAGGCAGAGGCTGCGGTGAGCCAAGATCACACCACTGAACTCCAGCCTGGGCGACAGAGTGAGACTCTGTCTCAAAAAAAAAAAAAATAGTAATTGTCAAAAAAGAGGAGCCACAGGTCTGGTGAATTCCCAAACTGAACTGATCACAGGACAGTGGAAAGTAGACTGTAGTACTTTTACTTTCCTTAGGTCGTCCACTACAAAGAACTACCACTTCATGTAAGAGCTGCTTTGGACTCCTTAGGTTTTATACATATGCCTTGTGTAGTGGAGCCATGTATTAGGAGTTGCAACTCTCAGAGCAGTCAGTTGGAGCCCTGGGCGGGGGCTCCTTTTCATGTTTCTCTGGGGGCTTAAACAGTGACTCGTGTCTAGGAATAGCAGGCAAAGTGTGGGTATTTGGTTTTTCTTTTTTTATTTTTATTTTTCTTGAGACCCTCATCTTGGAAAGGCATTTGGTTTTCTTCACTGGTGTGCCCACATCCTCTCTCCCATGATTTTCACCTTAGATAAAGAGGTAAACTAAATATTTGTTTCCCACATCTTGGAGCTAAGTAAAATGATACCGATACTCCCTTTTATGCCATACCACATAACTAATCTGTATGACAAGACCAGTTAGGGATTATTGCTTGCAGGGTATAGTAATTTAGTAGAGCTGGTCAATCAAAAGAGCTACAATCCAAAAGCAACTATTGAGAAGGGCCTAGAAGCATTTCTAGGACCATTGTTTCTTACACCTATACTCATAGAATTGCCTCTCTTCTCAGCAAAACCTGGAAATTCACCGGAAGATAAAACAATCTGAGCAGGAGCTAGCCTATCTGGAAAGGAGAGAACGAGAGGTAAACTTTGGTGACCTGTTGTTACTCCCTTGACCTCAGCTCTTTTTGCTTTCTGATACAGACTTCACAGGCTGTGCTAATCCCTCCTTATAAGAAGACGGAGAACAAAAGAGGCCCCAAAAGATAGTATATACATTTGCCAAATTCTATAATACATCAAAATAGGTGCTTTTTATTATTTATAAGTTATACCTCAATAAAAGTAATACCTTTTTTTTGTTTGTTTTTGCCCTTCCATCCCCAAAGGTGGTATCTTTTTAAAAGGTGGTGTTAGGGTCTCCAGGTAGGTAGCACTCCTCTTTGCTGCTCAGCTTTTAAGTCAATTGAGTTAATGAAAGAGTGTTGAATAGGGCTGCTGAAATAGCATCTTTTACTATTAAAGGCTAAGCTGGAGGAATTAGCTTAGTGTGAGAGTCAAATGAACTTGCTACCTCAACCACACAATTAGGGTGACTTACCTATCCAGTCACAGGCTTCACTGGCCTCTCTTATGATGGTTAAGAACCCACCTATGGGTCAGGCACAGTGGCTCATGCCTGTAATCCCAGTACTTTGGGAGGCTGAGATGGGCGGATCCCTTGAGCTCACAAGTTTGAAACCAGCCTGGGTAACATGGCGAAATCCCATCTCTACAAAAAAATACAAAACTTAGCCGGGCTTACTGGTGTGTGCCTGTAGTCTCAGCTACTCGGGAGCCCGAGGGAGGATGGCATGAGCTGGGAGGCAGAGGTTGCAGTGAGCCGAGATTGTGCCACTGCACTGCAACCTGGGTCATAGAGCCAGACCTTGTCTCAAGAAAAAAAAAAAGGAATCTACCTGTGGAGAGCCAGGTACAGTGGCACATGTATGTAATCCCAGCAGTTTGGGAGGCTGAGGTGAAAGGATCACTTGAGCTCAAGAGTTCCAGCCTGCAGTGAGCTATGATCACACCCCTGTACTCCCGCCAGGGTTACAGAACAAGTCCCTGTCTCAAAAACAAATAGAAGAATCCACTTATGGAGAACTATTGGAGATAATGAATTCACAAACTGAACTGGCCATAGGACAGTGGAAAGTAGATTGTAGTACTTTTCCTTTCCTTAGCATTGTCTACTACAAAGAACCACCTCTCCATGTAAGAGGTTCTTTGAGGCTGGGCTCAGTGGCTCACGCCTGTAATCCCAGCACTTTGGGAGGCCAAGGCAGGTGGATCATGAGGTCAAGAGATTGAGATCATCCTGGCCAACTTGGTGAAACCCCATCTCTACTAATAATACAAAAATTAGCTGGGTGTGGTGGTACATGCCTATAATCCCAGCTACTTGGGAGGCTGAGGCAGGAGAATTGCTTCAGCCAGGGAGCCAGAGGTTGCAGTGAGCTGAGATTGTACCACTGCACTCCAATCTGGCGACAGAGCGAGACTCCATCTCAGAAAAAGTGCTTTGGACTCCTTTTATATGTATCCCCAAGGGCTTATGTAGTGGAGGGCTTGTCTATTTTACCCTGCTTCTCAGAAGGGGAAAAGTCAGTTGAAGCAAGCATGCCAACTTACTCTTTCCAAATTTTTAAGTCGGGGAAGACACTACTTTACCTAGAAGAATATGTAAAGGAGTGAGAGATTCCAGGAGTTACTAAGTGAGCTACCTTCACTTTAAAAGAAATAACAGTAATGGGGTAAAACTTCCCCGTTCCCCAGTTCCCTCAGGTGGAAATCTCAGGTCTGCTCTTTTGCTTACCAACAGGGAAAGTTTAAAGAAAGAGGAAATGATCGCAGGGAAAAGCTCCCATCTTTTGACTCTCCAGAAAGAAAACGGATTAAATACTCCAGGGAAACTGACAGGTAAGACAGGAACTCTTCATTCACCCTAGGCCTCAAGGCCTAATGATAAAACCACCTCCTTCTTCAACTGTCCTGCTGTTTTTTGTTTTCATCTCAGGAGATGATGTTATCAGGAGTAGATTTTGTCTCAACTGCTAGAACATGAGGTCTGTGCCAGCCTTTTGACTGTATTTATACAGGAAATGTGCGTGGAAGGTTGGCTGGCAGCTTCACCTACCCAAAGCGAGGGCTGGAGTAGCCATGGTAGGGAGTGCTTTCTGTCTTCATTAGTAATACTGCACCCTCTTTATGGGCCTGATAAGAATGTCACATATGCCGGGCGCGGTGGCTCAAGTCTGTACTCCCAGCACTTTGGGAGGCCGAGGCGGGTGGATCACGAGGTCAAGAGATCGAAACCATCCTGGTCAACATGGTGAAACCCCGTCTCTACTAAAAATACAAAACATTAGCTGGGCATGGTGGCGCGTGCCTGTAATCCCAGCTACTCAGGAGGTTGAGGCAGGAGAATTGCCTCAACCCAGGTGGCGGAGGTTGCAGTGAGCCGAGATCGCGCCATTACACTCCAGCCTAGGTAACAAGAGTGAAACTCCGTCTCAAAAAAAAAAAAAAAGGAATGTCACATTCTTGGGCTTTTTCTCTAGGGAACCTCCATTCTCACACTTAGGTGCTATATAAATGGTTGGCTGCTGATGGAGATAGATGATCTGTAGCTTCCTGTACTTGTTTTAAATCAGCTAGTTGCCAAGTTGTAAGCCCAGAGTTATATAGAATTTGTTAATAACCCACTGCATACAGGTATTGTGTTAAGTACAAGAAATACTCAGGTGAACAAGACATATATTATCCTTGAGTGAACACAGAATAGATAAGACTTAGGTGATGGTGTATCTCATAGGGCCGACACAGAAATCAGTGGGAAAGGGAAGGGCATTTCAGGGAGCTTCATACAACAGGGATACAAGAGCTTATGAGGTGCTTGAGGAGTTGCAGATAGTTTGATGGTCCTGAACACTGCGGGTACATTGTTGAGTAACCTTAGATAAGCCTGGGCCAAAAGATACAGGCCAGTTCATGAACTTCAAACACCTTGAACACCATGCTAAGTCTTTATCTTAAAGGCAGTGGAAGGTCATAGAATAATTTTAAGCAGGGTATTGACCTAGCTTTGCATTTTGGAGAGATTACTAATTATGTAGAAGATGAGTTTATAGGGAGACGAATGCATTATGCAAATTCTGTAGTAATTCAAATGAGGGATCATGATTGCCTGAGTGAAAGTCATGAGTCTAGAAAGTGGCTTATAATCCCAACAAAGGGATGCTGAGAAAGGAGGAGGATCTCTTGAGCCCAGGAGTTGGAGGCCAGCTTGGGCAACATACGGAGAAGGGAGACCCCACTTCTATTAGAAAAAAAAAAGAAAAGGAGTGTGGATTACAGATAGGTGTCAGATCCACCAATCTTTGTAATCACCTAGGAAAAGGAAAAAGTCACTGATGAGGTCTCTGGTGTCTGTTGGATAGCTAGGAGAAGAATGGACAGTAAAAGGCCTTGAAAAGGGAAATTTGGGTACAAGTGGGTGCATGAGCAGAAGGAGAGGTGTAGTCCTTTATAACGAGAGAAGTGAGCATGTCTGTATGTTGGTAAGCAAAAGAACCAGTTGTCAGAGGAGGTTATACCTGTGGGGAAAGGGAGATGATTGATAGAGCAAGGCCCCTGAGGAGGCTGGATGGGATCTGAGTTTATGTGATCACAACCCACAATAAGAGATGGATTTTTGTATCATGGCCCAATGAGAGAGAGAGAGAGAGAGACAGACAGACAGACAGACAGACAGACAGACAGACAGAGACAGTCTTACTGGGTTATTCTCTGCAATTTGAAATACAGTGGACTAGGATAAGGTGAACGAGTCAACCATGAGGAGGAAAGATACCTTGGCCTTGAGTCATCTGGGGACAAGGCTTAGGTAGAGTACAGAAAGAGGCTGTTCTCCATTCTCAGCACCCTTCATGCCATAATCTCCTGGCTCTTCTCCTTCCCAGTCCCTTTTTCTGCTCCTCTTCCTTTTTTGGGTATATCCAGTTGTTCTTTAAGACTCTTCTTTCGGCCGGGCGCGGTGGCTCATGCCTGTAATCCCAGCACTTTGGGAGGCCGAGGTGGGTGGATCATGAGGTCAAGAGATCGAGACCATCCTGGTCAACACGGTGAAACCCCGTCTCTACTAAAAATACAAAAAATCAGCTGGGCCTGGTGGCGCGTGCCTGTAATCCCAGCTACTCAGGAGGCTGAGGCAGGAGAATTGCCTGAACCCAGGAGGTGGAGGTTGCGGTGAGCTGAGATCGCGCCATTGCACTCCAGCCTGGGTAACAAGAGCGAAACTGTCCCAAAAAAAAAAAAAAAAAAAAAAAAAAAAAAAAAGACTCTTCTTTCAATGCTTCTTTAGCCTTGCTGCTCTACCTCTTCACCTGGGCTTTCTAAGGTACCCATGGCCTCAACCACCACCACAGTAAGAAAACCTCCTGTATTATTATTTCAGAGTAGCAGCATCATAGCATCACTGTCTACATGGTCTGAACCCATCTTCTTCCTTTATCCCATGTCCAATTAGTGTCCAAATCCCTAATCTAATCTTGCTCCATGTCTTTGTTTTATGATACCATAGCAGAGTACCACAGACTGGGTAATTTATAATGAACAGAAATTTATTTTAACTCATGCTTCTAGAGGTTAAGAGGTCCAAGACTGAGGAGCTGCATCTGGCTAGGGCCTTCTTGCTGTGTCATCCCATGCTGGAAAGTGAAAGAACAAGAGAGCTTGGGCAAAAGGAGAGGTTGGGAGAAGGCTACCAGACTCCTCCTTTTATCAGGAACCCACTCCTACAATAACAGCATTAATCTATTTGTGAGGGCAGAGCCCTTATGACCTAATAACTTCCTAAAGTTTCACCTCTCAACACTCTTGCATTGGGGATTATGTTTCTTTTTTTGGTGGGGGGAGACAGAGTTTTGCTTTTGTTGCCCAGGCTGGAGTGCAATGGTACAATTTCGACTCACTGCAACCTCAACCTCCTGGGTTCAAGCAGTTCTCATGCCTCAGCCTCCTGAGTAGCTGAGGCATGTACTGCCATGCCAGACTAATTTTGTATTTTTAGTAGAGATGGGGTTTCTCCATGTTGGTCATGCTGGTCTTGAACTCCTGACCTCAGGTGATCTGCCCACCTCGGCCTCCCAAAGTGCTGGGATTCCAGGTGTGAGCCACCGTGTCCAGCCCGGGAGTTACATTTCTAACACATGAACTTTGAGGGACACATTTATCTATCTATCTATCTATCTATCTATCTATCTATCCATCCCATCTATCCAAGTTGGCCACTCCTGGATAGAGACACATTTAAACCACAGCATTTCCCATTCTAGTCCACCTCCACACTGGACTCCTACTCCCAGTCTTCGTTTCCACTGTTCTTCAGTCCATTCTCTACCCTGGCACCAAAATGACCTTTATAAAGAGAAATCTACTTTTATAACTTGTCTTTTTACAAACCATGTACCTTGCCTCTGAGGAGGCCTTAGCCCCAAAGTTTGCCTGAAGATTGAGGTTTGGATACATGATTTAGCTTAATGTTCAAGGTGTTTTACAGTCCGACCCTATGCAGCCTTTTTAAATTCCTTTGGGTTTTTTTGTTTTGTTTTGTTTTGTTTTTTGAGACAAAGTCTTACTCTGTCACCTAGGCTGAAGTGCATTGGTGCTGTCTTGGCTCACTGCAACCTCGATACCTCCCGGGTTCAAGCGATTCTCCTTCCTCAGCCTCCCAATTAGCTGGGGCTACAAGCATGTGTCAACTAATGTTTGTATTTTTAGTAGAGACGGGGTTTCGCCATGTTGGTCAGGCTGGTCTTGAACTCTTGATCTCGGGATCTGCCCATCTTCCAAAGTGTTGGAATTACAGGCATGAGCCACTGTACCTGGCCACCAAGTAGCCTTACCTTTGTCAGCTTCTCCTACTCCTCTCTTGGACAAATTGTCTTTCGTGTCTCCTTGCTTGTGTCCTCCTTTTCTTTCACTTTCTATTTCACAGACTCCTCATTTCGAGATCCAATTCAGATGTATCTTCCTGTTGAAATTCCAGTAATTTTCAGTGATGCCCCTTCAGAGTTTATGTTCCTTCTACTGTATGTCTATAGCAGACATCCACTGTTGCTACATTCATGGTTGAGCTCTCTTCAGTGTTATTTAAGCATCTCTTGACATAGCTTTTTAGACTTTTCTTGTGAACAGGGCCAAATCTTGGTAGTCTGTGTACCCTACAACAAAGCATAGATATCAGGCACTCAGAGTTATTATTTAATATGCTTACTTAATAAGAGGCAGATCTAAATCAAGAGGACAAAGATTTTATATTAGGCTCATAAGCAGATCACCTTGAAAGTGATGGTGTTAGGCCAGGCAAGATGGCTTATGCCTGTAATCTCAGCACTTTGGGAGGCCAAGGCAGGTGGATCACTTGAGGTCAGGAGTTTGAGACCAGCCTGGCCAAAATGGCAAAACCCCATCTCTACTTTAAAAAAAAAAAAAAAAAAAATACAAAAATTAGATGTGGTGGCAGGTGCCTGTAATACCAGCCAATCGGGAGGCTGAGGCAGGAGAATGGCTTGAACCTGGAGGCAGAGGTTGCAGTAAGCTAGGATCAAGCCGTTGCACTCCAGTCTGGGCAAAAAGAGCAAAACTCTGTCTCAAAAAAAAAAAAAAAAAAAAAAAAAGAAAAAAAAAAGAGAAAGTAATGTTGTCTGCTTCTTTTGCAGTGATCGTAAACTTGTTGATAAAGAAGATATTGATACTAGCAGCAAAGGAAGCTGTGTCCAACAGGCCACTGGCTGGAGGAAAGGGGCAGGCCTGGGATATGGCCATCCTGGATTGGCTTCGTCAGAGGAGGTGAAATGGTTTCCATCTTTTTGGGGGTGACATGAACCTGTAATGTAATTAACTTTCACTTTCTGGCCTAGAGTGCCTTTGACATTTTGCTGGGCTTTTTCCACTGCTGGCATAGAACATGAGAGTTGAAGAACACGTCAGTCTTAAATACTGGGTTATATAACTTGGTAGGCTGGGCCCTTTGGAGTTTGGTTGGAGTTAGGAAGAGAAGGAAGGATTTGGAATGGATTTCCTCATCCTTTTACATGGAGTAAATAGTAGAGCAGTATCTGAGGCAGTTTGAGACTGAAGAATCATTTGGTCAGAAGAACCAGGGAATCACCAATGAAAGGTACAAAGGCATCTCTGAGAGGGTCTGTCAGTGGAGGTCTTTGGTGGCTAAAATTTAGGCAGCATGTAGTTCTGGTTCCCATGAAGGACTTTGCCCTTCATATTTCAAGAAGAGCCTCTAGAAAAGGTGATAAATGGGAACATTACCCATTTAGTGTTGGCTTGGTTCTCCTCTGACAATGCCAACCATAAGAGATAGGCTTATTTCTCTCCTACTGAGCTTCTCATATCTCTGGCATTGAAGCCTCTATCTTTCAATAATAGCATCACCACCCAAGTTACTCATCTGGGGTATTTGTTTAATAAAGAAATATTCTTTTTTTTTTTTTTTTTTTTTTTT